TCGTCGTCACCCGCAGGCACTGAGTGCTGCTGGAGGTCAGAGGGAGCCTTTGGGTGCCAGGCTGTTCTCAGTGCCTCCAGGTCTGGGCACTGCTCCTGCAAGGGTGGCCAAGGGGAGCTCACACAGCCCATGGTGCCCAGCAGGGCTGAGCCCAAACCCTGCCAGGCTGCAGTCATTTCCAGGAGCAGTGCTGTCCAAGCAGAGCAGCCTCTTGATAGCAGGTAGATGCCCCAAATTATTACCATCACCATCACCATCACCACTGCCATCGCCATCGCCAAGGCAGTCAAAGAATCACAGAATTCTTCTATGACTGTCCAAATTAAGACCATTGAAATTATAACCATTACCACCACCATCACCACCATTACCACTATGACCACCAACACCATCCCCACTGTTATTTAATACCCCGCTGTACCGATGAATGCAGAGTCTTTCACGGCACCGGCCAGGCCAGTGGCAAAAGCACCGAGGTGCCCATGTGCCCCATCGCCCCCTCAAGGAGCAGTGAAGCTGTGGCTGGGCACAGTGCAGCACTCAGCCCTGGGCTGGGATCAGTGGGGCTGGGAGCACACGGCGCGCTCCGATGCGCATCGCCCTCCTGGGGTGGATGAGCTGTGAGCCCAGGCAGGGAGAGCCGCTAATTGGAAACACATGTTGTTCCAATTGAGCGATGACTGTGAAAATAAGAGTCCGATTTCTCTGCCTGCTGAGCCTCCCATGTTCACCAAAGCCCTCCGGTTTCCTGGCAAGGGCGACCTTCTGCCCGCTGACCCAGCGCCGTCTGGGTGAGAAGCGCCGGTGGGAAATCCCTCTGACCTCCAACACAGCGATTGTTCCACTGCAAAACCTAAATTTATCCCCAAAGCGGTGACGGCACAACTCACACATGGCCCATTCCCCTCTCCTTGGAGTCTCCCTCACGTCGGCTGTTTGTAACCATAAGGGCACGCCGGGGCTGAGCAGCAGGAGGAGGAACTGCCTTTGAGTTCAGGCAGGGCCGAACTTTCACACAATGACCTGGGGGTCAGCGTGGGAAGGAGCGGGATGGAGAAAGGCAGAGAACAAAGGCGCCCGTGGCTGGAGCTGCCCGCTGCTGGTGTGCAGCCAGATGTGCTGGGGGAGCTGACGGCGCAGTGCCTGGAAGAGAGGCTGAGAGGAAGGCAATGCGAAGCGGTCATGGAAAGGAGAAATCCGGGGGAGAAAGGAGCACAGAGCCAAGTGGTGTGAGAAATGGAAGCAGTGCAGGGATGGGCGCAGTCCCGGCACTGCCTGTGGGATTTCCTGGTGCAGAAGTGGGGGTTGGTGCCCTCACACCCTACATGGGGGGAGCCGGGGTGGGGAGAGGGATTGGAAAGAGGATGGAGTTGAGAATGGGGTTTGGAAAGAGGAGGGGGGTAGGGATGGATGTGGTAATGAGGATGGAAATGGCAGTGGAAATGGGGATGGGGAGGTGATAGAGATGAGGGTGAGGATGGGGATGGGATGGGAATGGGGGTTTGAAAGAGGATGGGAGTGGGTACGGGGATTGGAAAGAGGTTGGGGGATTGGGGATGAAGATGGTAATGAGGATGGGATAAGGATGGCTTTGGGGATGGGGAGGTGATAGGGATGGGGATGGAGTTGGAAAGAGGACGAGGGTAGAGATGGAGATGGGGATGGAGAGGTGATGGGAATGTGGATGGGATGGGGCTGGAAAGAGGATGGGTGGGGGTGGAGATGGTAGTGAGGATGGGGTGGAGATGGAGAGGGGGTGGTAATGGAGTTGGGGAGGTGATGGGGATGGAATGCAAATGGGGGTAGGAAAGAGAATGGGAGAGATGGTAATGAGGATGGGATGTGGAGGTGATAAGGATGGAGATGGGGACAGAGATGGGGATGGGGGTGGAGTGGGGTGAGGATGGGGGTGGAGTGGGATAGGGATTGGAAAGAAATTGGGGGAGTGGGGATGGAGATGGTAATGAGGATGGGATGAGTATTGGGATGGAGATGGGGAGATGATAGGAATGGGGATGAGGATGAGGATGGGATGGGAATGGGGTTGGAAAGAGGATGAGGGTGGGGGATGGAGTTGGGGATGGGATGGGGATGGGGTTTGGAAAGAGGATGAGGGGTGGGGATGGAGATGGTCGTGAGGATAGGGTGGAGATGGAGAGGTGATGGAGACAGGAATGAGAATGGGGAAGAAATGGGGATGTGATGGAAGTGGGGATGGGGAGGTGATGGGATCTAACCTGGGGATGGGGCTGATAATGGAGACGGTGACTGCAATAACGATGGGATGGGGGTGATGATACAGAGGGTGCCCTGTGCCTGCAGAGATAGATACCCCTAAAATTAACAACAATTAACTGCTTTCGACCCTGTTGGGGCCAGGGGATGAACCCAATGGAACAGGCAGAGACCTGGAAGACACCACCAAGTGCCCTGCTGCTCCCTGGGCTGCTGCGAGGTCCCAGAGGCTGCAGGATCTGCTGGGCTTGGACCCCTTACAGGATCTGTCCTGGGTGGGGGCTGTGTGGTTCTCTATCCCCACAGCCAAAGGAAAGAGACAGCATCACCCTCGTTACGTCAGTGCCACCCTTATGTCCTGTGTGCCAGCAAACTCCAGCCCTGCCCAGCACAGCCCAGGGAGCAGCCAGCCGTGCTGGAGCCTCTTTACCATGCAGGGCAGAATGGGGTGCTGGAAATACACTGAGAGCCACCAGACTCCATTTTAAGCTCTATTTAAAGTTGCATGCAGCTTCCCATTACTCCATTCCCATTCACAGGTAGCTCGGGGCCTCAGAGAGGAGCTTTTCATTTTCGAGTGTTAAAAATTCATATATCTCAGGGCAAACTGGCATCGTCCCAATAGGAAAACACATCCCGAGTAAAATGCATAAATCATGCAGCTTCCGGAAGGGTTCGGGCTCCTCGCGTTGCCTCTCAACACAACCATTACAAATCAGCACTGCAGTTACGTTTGCTCCAGGACCCCACGTAACCCCGCTGCTCCCCAGGCTGCGATGTGGGACGAACTGTGATGTTGGGTAACGGCGGGGCAGGGAGCTGAGTTACTCACAGGATTCATTTACCGTGACATCATTAACCCGCAGGAATTGTCAACACGCGGAGCCGTGCTGCCCCGTTCGGCCCAATGGCTCCGGGCTCTGCGCTTCCCCGCTGCCGGGGCTCTGGGGGCGCTCCGAGCTCCGGCCCCGCGGGCACAGCGCTGCCTCCTTCCTGGGCGCCCAAAGGTGGCAGGACGGAGAGAAAGAGATTTTCCATAGCTTTGATTTTTGAGGGGGAGGGGAACCCGGCGCTGGTGCCGTGCAGGGCTGCGGTTGCCCCCCCAGCGCTGCCACCCCCCCGTATCCCAGGCTCCCACCGTGGTGACACACGGGGCCGAACGCGACCGCAACGGGCGCTTTTTGTTGTTGCAGAGCCGGGAGCGGTGCGGCCAAGGAGCGTGAATTCCTTCGTGGGGAGGAAAAAAAGAAAGAAAGAAAAAAACAAACCAAAAAACACAGACAGAAAATCCCTCTAAGCCAGGGGAAGAGGCAGCGCCCGAGGGAAGAGCTGCTGACGGAGTCAAAGACGTTTGCAAATGAATGGAGGGGGATGAATGAGCTCTCAGAGGGGCATTCCTGGGGATGGGCTGCACTCAGAGGAGCGGGTCTCCTCCTCCACCCAGAGCGGCTCTGCTCGTAAGCCCCGAACCTACAGCACCCATGGGTGGGGGCTCCATGGGGGCAAGTGGCAAAGCTCAGGGAATGAGGGCAGCCAGGGTGTGGGTGGGACTGCCAGCAGGGGGGGATGGGGGTGGGAATGGGAATGGGAATGGGAATGGGAATGGGATGGGATGGGATGGGATGGGATGGGGATGAAGAGGGGATTGGATATGAAAATAGGAATGGAGATGGGAATGGAGACGGGAGTAGGAATGGGAATGGGGATGGGATGGGGTGGGATGGGGATAGGAATTGTAATGGGGATGGGATGGAGATGTGTGTGTGGGAGGGTGGGAATGGAGATGGAGATGGGATGGGGGTGGAGATGGGAATGGGAATGGGAATGGGGATGGGGATGGGGATGGGGATGCGGATGAAGATGGAGATGGGAAGAGGGATGAGAATGGGAATGAGGATGGAGATTGGGGATTGGAATGGGAATAGGGATGCAGTGGGGAAGAGATGGGGATGGAGATAGGGATGGGAATGGGATGATCAACAAATGGAAATGGGGATGGGAATGGGGCAGGAGTGGGGAAGAGATGGGATGGGCCAGGGAAGGAATAGGAATGGCAGTGGGAACGGGGATGGAATAGGAATGGGGATGGGGTGAGGAAGAGATGAGGATGGAGAAAGGGATGGGAATGTGATGGGTAAGGAATGGAAATGGAGATGGGAATGGGAGGGAATGGGATGGGGATGAGGATGGGGAAGAGATGGGTATGGGGTTTGGATGCAGAAATGGTGGGGGTGGGGAGAGGGAAGGAATAGGAATGGTGATGGAATGGGGAAGGGGTGAGGATGGAGATAGGGATGAGAATGGGATGTGGAAGAAATGGAAATGGTGGTTGGGTATGGATGGAATTTGGAAATAAGGATGAGGGTGGGGAAGAGACAGGATGGAGAACGGATGGGATGGGGAAGGGACGGGGGTGAGGTTTGGACGGCAAAGTAGTGGCGATGGGGACGAGATGGAGAGGGGACAGACAGCAATGCCAGGCACGGTCAGGGCGCGGCTCACAGGGGAGCGGCCGGGCTGCCCCGGGTGGATTCTCGGAACCTGGTCCGTAAGGGTTTGGGGGGGGGATGAGCCGGGGCTGCTCGGCTGGGGCTGCGGGAAGGGCTGGGGTTGGGCTCGGCGCAGGGAAGGCGAACAAAGCGGCGGGGAAGGGCGGCGCGGGGCGGGCGCGGGGCGGGCATTCCCCGCAGCGATGCGCGGCTCTCCGCCCGGGTGCCGATAAAAGGGGCGGCGCGGCGGCCGGGCGCGCATCGGGACCGGCGGTCATGCAGCTCTCCGGGGCAGCGCTGCTGCTGTGCGCCGCGGCGGCGGGGATGGCGGCGGGACCCGCACCGGGAATGGGCCGAACCGGGACCGAACGGCGGCCGGCGGCGGGCGGCAAAGAGCGGAGGGCGCAGTTCGCCTCCTGGGATGAGGTGAACGTGATCGCCCACGGGCTGCTGCAGCTCGGCCACGGCTTGAAGGAGCACGTGGACAGGACCAAGGGGCAGATGCGGGAGCTCGGCAGCCGCCTGAGCGCCCACAACAGCTCCATGGGGCGGCTGCTGCGCCAGGCTCGGGAGACGCAGGAGCAGGGAGAGCTGCTGCGGGCCAGCGTGCGGGAGCTGGAGGGCCGCGGGCGGCAGCTCTTCAACCTCTCCGAGACGCTGCGGCAGCGGTTGGAGGAGGTGGCGGCCGACAAAGCCGAGATCCAGGGCCGGCTGGAGCAGCTGGAGGGCCGCGTGCGGCAGGCGCTGCAGGCGCGGCCGGCGGAGAACCAAAGCTCCAAGGACCTGGGAGCGCTGCAGGTGGGCGCGGAGCGGAGACGCGGAGGGCTCCGGGGGGACCCGACCCGATGGGCGTAACGGGGGAGACCCGAGGGAGCGGCCCCTGGGGATGGAGGGGGACCCGAATCGAGCGGGAGCGGTGGGAACGGGAACAGCGGAGCTGATGGGACCCGACCCGATGGGGCACCGGGAGCGACCCGGAGAAACGGGGATGGGAGGGGACCTCACCCGAGTGGGAGCACCGACCCCATCGCAGCGCTCCGGGTGGAGCGGGGCACCGGGGACCCGACAACCCTCCCAACACACAGGGGGACCAACCCTGCTGGGACACGGGGAGCAGCACGGAGGGAACCGACCTGCCCAGGGCACTGGGAGCACCCGACCTGGGGACACTGGGAGCTGCCCGCGGGGACCTTGCCCTGGTGCTCCGTGCCATGCGTGCACGGGCTGCGCCCGTGGCTGTGGGGTTCACTGGGCTCTTCCTCCCCTGCAGACCCTGATGGATGCCCAGAACTCGAGAATTGAGGAGCTCCTGCAGAAGATCAAGCAGCAGCAGTACAAGCTGGACAAGCAGAATCTGCAGATTAAAAGCCTGCAGAGCAAGGTGAGCTCCTGCCCAGCTCCTAGGAGCACAACAAGCTCCTGTCCCTTGCAGCCAGCTGGCACAAAGCATCAGTGGCAGAAGGAGCAGCACTGCTGCTGTGCCCTGGCTTCAAGTGTCCTCTGAAGGACGTGGCCCTGGTCCCTGTACCGCAGTGCTGGTGCACATGTAGTGAAAAAAATAAGCCAAATGAAACAGAATTGGGAGCTTCCAGAGAATTGGCACTGGGAAATGTGAAACATTCGTGTATAGGGACCAAACCTCTCTGTGTTGGTCCATTTAGTTTATCTGCAGAATAAACTCATTAGCGTGGGTGTGAAAAACCACAACTTGCCCCAGATTCCTCCTGTTCCTCAAGCTTTCTGGGCAAGCCCAGCCCCAGCTCTGGTCTGGAATTCTTGGGCAGCAGTGCTGAGAATGAGCTGAGATAAAACCGTTCCAACTTGCAGCTTCTGGATTTTTTGTTTTTCAGGTCAACCTGCTGATCCCTTTACATCTGAAGGACAACAAAACACAGTCTCCAAAGTGGAAGATAAACCCAAAGAAAAGCTTCAGCCACACCAACCAGAGCCATAATGTGAGCGTGGAGCCCGTGCTGCCACACAGTGAGTATCAACGTGTGCTGCCCTGCTTCGCCTTGCAGGAGCACAGCAGCAGCAGTTGCAGCCATGCAGAAACAAAAGGTTCAGTTGTCCCGGTTCAGGGTGTGAGATCTGTGTGCAAAACCAGGGCTTGGGGGCTGGGCCAGACTGGGGGAGAGCTGGAACAGGGGTAGGACCCGACCATTGGGATCAGTGTTAGTCCAGATGGAATTCAGGGGTTTAAGGGGAATTTTTCTGCCTGATGTTAAGAATGCAGTGAGAAGCAAAGAAGCTCTGAGAGCAGCTATTTGTTTCTGCTCTTGGAGTTGGCTTCTGTTCCCCTGCTGTCAACTGTCCCCGGGGTGCAGGGGAGCAGCAGGACGGTGCCCAGGACCACGATGTGCAGTGAGGTCTGTGCGCATCCCTCTTCCTCTGCTCACATTTGGGTCTCGTAGACAAAAAGGACAGGTGCCTCAGCTTGCACTGCTCAGAGTGCAAAGCAAACACCTGGGAGCAGAGGAGCTGGAGGCTGGGAAACGTGCAAGGCAGTGTCATATCTGAATCCTCCCCGTTGTGCCGGGTGCATCCTCCTGCTGGTGGGGTCGGAGGAGCAGCACCGAGCAGCATTTCTGTGCCGTCCCTGTTGTGCTGCAGCCGGGAAGCAGCGGTCCTGCAGAGGTCACTGCAGGGAGCAGCTGCTCTGCTGTTGTGTCAGCTCAGTCGCGGCGCTGGGGAAGCGTCTGTGCAGCTGTCTGGGGATGTCCAGCCTGAGCCAAACAGGGCGAGAATCCACAGGGAATCCTAGGGGTTAGCACAGGGGAAAGCACACGCGGGTTTGTGTGTGCAGAGCTGTCAGTGGCATGCCTCAGCACGGCGTGAGCAAAACAAAGCCTGGGCAGTAAGCAGAGAGCGATGCGGTGCTCCAGAGCCCCGTCCTGCAGCAGGGCTGTGTGCTGCTTCCCTCGCTCCAAGCGGGGCTGTTGAGCTGGAGGATTGTTCTCCCAGCTCTCTGCTTTGTGATTCACCCTTAGCAGCGTCTCCTGCCCTGCTCTCAGGTCTGGGTTGTGCCGAAGGCGCAGTGTGAGGCAGCGGCTTTGCTAGTTACTGGTGTCAGACTCGGGCCTCTGTGCTGGCTGCTGGCTGCAGCTGTGGGGCGCAGAGAAGACCCACGGCCCGTGGGGACGGTGTGAGGGAAGGGTGTGAGCTCAGCACCATGTGCCCTGCAGCTCCCATCAGCATCCCCACGCGCCAGGCATCCCTCCATCTATCAGTGCTTCCTCCCCGCCCTGCAGAGCCCTCCGCTCCCTTGCGCTCTCCTGATCCCTGTTGTTGATATCGCCGTCAGAAAACAAATTGGCTTCCTTTCATTACCAAGCTGAGTCGAGTTTTCTGGCAAAGCTTAAAGCAGACGATACCCCGGCAGGCCGGCCCCGTGCCCCCTGCCTGGGGGGCTCGCAGTAGCGCTTCTCCTTGTGCCTGCGGCTGCTCCCTGCCCGATGTCAGGGATCAGCAATGAACTCCACCAGCAGAGTTTTCAAAAAGACCCTTTCATTCGCATCCAGCGAACACGAGTTTTTTTTTGGGGCCAGGGATGGCAGCGCGCCAAGCATGTGAAAGTTGAAGGTTTGAAGCAGCCTGGAGAGTGAAAGGTTTAATCGCTCACAGAAAGAGGATCACATCTTTAGGCAGAGGCTGTGCGCTCTGGCAGCCGGCCCAGTAGGGGAAGGGTAAAGCCCCACTCTCCCCGTGGCGCCGGGACTCCAAAATAATGGGGTTGGGGCTGGCGGGGGGCAGGAGATGCAGACAGCTGGGGGGGGGGGCAGGGGGGGCACGCCCTGCCTGCAGACAGCTCTGTGTTTATCCCGGGTTGGTGACCTCTGTGTGCCTGGAGATCTGCTGGGTGAACAGGGTGCCGTGCCTGGGGCTGCTCCAGCAAGCTGTGCTGGTTAGGAGTCTTGTTTGGCTGAATAAAGAGGGAGGGAAAGGAAAACATGCTGAGCAGCCAGGAGGTCTTCTTGTTTTGCCAGTGCCATACGGGTGTGCAACGCAAACTGGAGCGAATGAGTTTGTTCCTCAAACAAAGATTGAGCTGAGGCTGTTCAAGCAGCTGCATTTCATTCAGCTGCTCAAAAAAGTCCCCGTTGCACTGGGAGAACAGAAGAGAGAAAGAGCGCAATGTGTTTGGCCAGAAATCAGCGGGGAGGAGGGGGGAGAAGAGAACAACCAGGGGGCAGGGCTGGCTAATGCACAGGGAATCGTACCTGAGCGCTCGCTGGGCTCCATCATTGCTGGGAGGAGGTGAGGAGTTGCTGCATCTGCATGAGCCACTCTTGCTGGGCATCACCTAAGGGGCTCCTTCCCCTGAGCCCCCTCTGGCTTCTCTGGCTGCTTTTATTACTTAGAAAGTGAGCAGAGTGATGCTGGGTGCTTTGTGTGCTGTGATGCACAATGCTTGCCATGGCTTTGGTGGCACCCAGCGCTCTGTTGGTGTCTGTGGGGGGGGTCACAAAGGATGCTGCAGGCAGTGCTGGAGCCCATCAGTGGGCCTGCAGGGGTCCTCACACAGAGCAGTGCTGGGGGCTGCAGTGGTGGGCATGGAGGGGGGGGGACATCTGAGGAGAGAAAAGTTCACAGCGGGGGGCTGATGGGGGAGGGGGGAAGTGGGTGAGAGGTGGCAGCGGGTGTCACATTGCCACCCCTCCTCCCCCCACTGCTGACCTTTTCTCCACGGCTGACTCCAGCCTCCCAAAGAGGAGGGGGCCGGGGTGATGCCCTGCAGGCAATGTCCTCCCCCCAAAGGCCCCATTCCCCTCTCTGGCTCTGGATGCAGCCCTGTGGCCACGCAGAGAAGCCTCCCTCCCTTCCCAGACTCCGTGGGCTGCTATTGCGGGCGAGGGACCCCGGTGCCCTGGGGGCACACGGTGAGGGCTGGCCTGGTGTTGGGGTCCCATCACCTCCCAGTGGCAGCTGTGAGCCTCACGCAGTCACCCCACACCCAGAGCTGCCTGGGGAACAGAGCAGCTTTGTGTGGGGTGATGGGGCCGGGGGCACCTGTCCCTGCACACAAAGAGCCCCTTGACGTGCCGGCACCCCACAGCCCAGAGGCTGAAGTCCCCTCACATCCTCCTTTGGCCTTTTGACTCTGGGTTTTGTAACAGGGCTGCTTTTTTTTTTTTTTTCTTCCTTTTTTTCTTTTTTTCCCCACCCCGTGTGCTGCGGGCGCTGGTTCCCGGATGGACTTTTATCAGTGCTGTTGTAACGGTGCTTTGCTGGCAGCTGGGGACAAAGTCCCCGACAGGCAGAAGGGGAGAAGTGGAAGCTCAGAGCCGTGAGGGGGGGGCGGGGGGAGGTGAAGCTTTCCTCTTGCAGGTGGTTGCTTGTGGGCCATCCCTGCAGGGCGCTGCGGGTGTCTGCCCTGCTGGGGAGCGTTCTGTCCAGCCCTGGGTCACTGCAGCCTGGCCCCGTGCCCGGCTTCTCTCTTGGACGGGAGCCCGAGGAGCTGCCTTTGGAGCAGTGGGAAGATATTGGGTCACTGGCGTTCAAAGCTCTGCAGAGCCAGGGATTCATCTCAGCACGCATCCGATGCTGATGTGTGCGGCTCCCGTCGAGCTGCGCGTGCGGGGCTGTGTCAGGAGCAGCAGCCGGGCTGTGGGTGTGGGGCCGACCTCTCAGACTCTTTTCCCTTCTTCCAGCAGAGCTCCCAGAGGACTGCCAGCAGCTCTTCCTGGCTGGGCAGCAAAGCAGCGGGGTCTTCCAGGTGCAGCCCTCAGGGTCCCAGCCCTTCAAAGTCTACTGTGACATGACTGCAGGTACAGCGGAGGAGATGCCGTGCATCTCGCAGTGCTTTGCACGGTGCTCTTGCCAACAGCAGCCCTGAAATGTGTCTTTTCCCCCCTGCAGAAGGTGGCTGGACGGTGATCCAGAGGCGTACAGATGGCTCTGTGGACTTCGACCAGCTTTGGGATGCCTACAAGAATGGCTTTGGAGACCTTCATGGTAGGTGGATGGTGGCATCTGTCTTAGCACAGGACATGTGATAACTTAATTAGGACAATTAATTCCCCCTCACCTCCTCCTGTAGACCTCCATGTGCAGGAGCAGTGTTGGGATGAGGAGGGGGGGGACACTGCTGGCACCCCCAGAGCATTTGTCTCTCTGACTGGTCCTGCACATGCAGACAGCGACTCAAAAGCTTCAGGGTCTGGGTCTGAGGTCTTTCTTGCCCTTGAATCCTGTTTGTATATCTGTTCTGCACCACATCTCTGTATCCCTGGGACCACAGAAGACCATCTGTGTTTCAGGTGACTTCTGGCTGGGCTTGGAGAAGATCCATCACCTGGTCCAGGAGGGAAGGTACAACCTCCTGATTGAGCTGGAAGACTGGGAGGGAAACTCCCAGGAGATTCAGTTTGAGTTCAGCCTCGGTGGGGAGAGCACAGCCTACACACTCAACCTGCTGGGACCTCTGTCTGGAGAACTGGAAAATGCCATTGGGGACTTTAGGCAGCTGCCCTTCTCCACTCGGGATCGTGACCACGATCTCAAAGCGGACACAAACTGTGCCAAGCACCTCTCAGGTCAGTGTGGGCTCTTCCTCTTCCAAGGGATCATAGAATCCTAGAATGGCCTGGGTTGAAAAGACCGCAATGATCATCCAGTTCCAACCCTCCCGCTATGTGCAGGGTCACCAACCACCAGACCAGGCTGCCCAGAGCCACATCCAGCCTGGTGTGTGATGTGCCATTTCCCTCCTGCCCTGGGAGGTAGCTGTGGTTGGGCAGCCATGGATCAATTCAGCCCTTTGATGCTGAGCCTGTGTTGCTCCCAGCATCCTGGGATTGCTGCAGGAGGGGTCCTTGGGAGGAGCCATGCAGATACAGGGAGGGATGCTGAAGCCATGTAGGGATCATGGCTCAGGTCTTGGCCAAGCATCTGTCTTTGTGACAGCTTTGCTGGCTGCCAGCTTGTCTGGATCCATACGGAGATCACCAGTAGATGGGATTCCTCAAGGGTTTACGAGGCCCTGTGAGCTCCCAAAGCCCTGAAGCGTGGGGGAAATGGGGACAGCAGCTGCCTTGAGGGTGGGTTTGATTCTGGACAAGTGCTGTGTGTTAAACCCTGCTCTGCATTGCAGGTGGGTGGTGGTTCAGCACCTGCGGCCACGCCAACCTCAATGGGAAGTACTTCCGCTCCATCCCTCGCCAGAGGCACGAACGCAAGCAGGGCATCTTTTGGAAGACTTGGAAGGGCAGATACTACCCTCTGAAATCAACCACCATGAAAATCCAACCCACAGTGCTGGAAGCAGAGCCCTAAAGCTGCCGTTTCAGACTTGACCTTTCCAGCGGAGCGCGGTCGCGAGCTCCATCAGTTGGTGTTTACAGGAAACAAACCCACCCTCCCCATGGAGACCCCCGAGGTGTGTTTCTCTTTGCTGGCGCAGTGCAGCTCTTCATTCAAGTAAAGCAGCTCCATGTCACTGAAGCCCCCGGATGGGGGTTTCCAAAGCAGGAGGTTGACCTCCAGAGCATGCCGGGGGTCGGGCCGCCCGCCCGCCTCGAGCCCTGCAGTGGTCGCTGCAGCCTTCTGGTGCTTTCTGCCCTGTCTGAACACTTCCGTGCTGGGCTGGGATGAAGGAAAGCATGGGAGGTTCTCTCACTGCCCTGCACCCAGTTGGGTGCTGAGCCTCGCCGTGTCCCACCTCTCACTGTTGACCCCACGTGTGACCTGTGAGTGTCCCCAGCCCTCTTCCCCCACTCCTCAGCCACATGGGGTGGGAGCCATGGCAGCTCCATCTCATTTCTGCCTCACAGCCCTGCTCTGGTGACTCCAACCCAATGGGAATACAGAATCCTTAGAGGTGGAAGGGACCTCAGAATGCCACATAGTCCAACTCCCCTGCAATAAACAGGGACATGTGGGTGTCACTGGGAGGATGCGGGACTCCTCTGGGAGAAGGGCACCTCGAGCTCCCTCTGTTTCCCTGCCCCCAAAGCTTGAAAGCTGGCTGGAATTTGTTCAGAGCTGGGAAAAACGCTCACAGCTCCGGGAAGCGATGAGCAAGACGATGCAGGCAGCTGTGGGGGGGTGCTGGGGACTGAGTCATGGCTCAGCCTGGAGCTCAGCAGTGGGACGTGTGCTGGGACAACACGCGCATGGAGCAGCGCCCATCCATGGGAAACCAGTGTCCTGCTGCCAGCTGTGTGCTCTCACAGCCTGGAGCTCTCACAGCCTGGAGCAATGCCGTCTCCAAAAAGAGTCCCCATCCTTTGCACAGCCCCTCCTGCACACCCTAAAGGCCAGGGGACATCAGGGCTGCCCTGCACGAGCTGCACTGCCTGGCTGGGTGCAGCTCTGCCCTGGGATGGGTGAAACAGATCCCCAAAAACTGTTACGGGCCAAGCTGCCGTCTTGGGGCTTCCCAAGCATCCTGCCCTATTGAAGTCATATTGACTGCCGTGCTAGAGCTCCTAGCTGCTAAAAATTGTAAATAGCCTTTGTAGGATGTTGGATCTTTTTGATGAACTTCTCGTTCTAATTTGTTTCTGTATTTAAATGCAGTGTTAATGTGGTGTAATTTATAAGCGTCGGCGCTGGAAAACAACAGCTGTAGTTTGTGTATTTTAAACGTTTTTTTTGTTGGTGGTTTTTTGTTGGTTTTTTTTTTTTGTACTAAAATATCTTTTCTGAAAATGTCTTTTAATAAAAAGAAGCCTGTAAGTGTCCTGCCTGCATTATTTGCGTGACAGTGCACCAGTGGTTCTGTGGGAGAAGTGCAAGGATGTGCATTCAGATGCTTTGCTCAGCGGGTGCTTGGATTCTTATTGTCCTGACCACGTCCTGTGTGGAGCTGACAGTCCCACTGGGTTCCACTCTGCTTGGAGCTATCAGGCTCCATGTTTTTCTGCTGGAAATGAGGCCCTGGAGCAGCAGCCCTTATTCTCTGATGGCAAAACTTTGCACCAAAGCTACTGCCTGCAGCTGGCTGGATGCAAACACAATTGGAATTGTATGGACAGATAAAGGCAGACCTGACCAGGAGCTGCCCCAGCCAACAACAGCCTTGCAGCTGTTTGTACCATATATGCCAAGCAATATCCATCAGCTTGTAGGCAGCTATCACATGTGAAGGAATCTGGGGGTCCTTCAGTCTTCCCAGAGACAGATCCAGGCTGGTATTGAGGGCAGACAAAACAGCAACATCTCCATTTGAATGCAGATATCCTACTACAAAGCAGAAAGCAGCACCAAAACCCATCAAACCCACAGAACGGCTCATTCCAGGAGCGAGAGACAAGAGCCAGCACGGCTCGGGAAGTCCCTGGGAGCAGCTGTGCAAACACCTGCACACCTGGCCTGCCTGCTCCTGCTCCATCCAACCCCGGAGAAAACCGCAGGGTTAATGGCAGCCCCGAGCACAATTGCACAAGGAGCCCACTAGGCTGCCCCGTGCGATCCATCCGCTCCCCCTTGTGTTCAGAAATACATTTTTAATGCTCCGTTTGCTTAAGGCAGCAGCAGCAGCGTGCCGCGTTGTGCTCGGGATGCTGAAGTGGTCAGATTAACGAGGGGTGTCCATAGAATCACAGAACAGCCTGGGTTGCAAAGGAGCACAATGCTCATCAGTTCCAACCCCCTGCTGTGTGCAGGTCACCAACCAGCAGCCCAGGCTGCCCAGAGCCACATCCAGCCTGGCCTTGAATGCCTGCAGGGATGGGGCATCCACAGCCTCCTTGGGCAGCCTGTTCCAGGTTTGGCAGGATGCAGTGCTGTTTCTCCCTGCGAGGAGCTGCAGCTGCCATTGGGGTCCCTCTGCTCCAGGCCCCACAAACCCAGGGCCCTCGGATTCTCCCCTATCTTTGCAGCCCTTCTGGGGTTGCTCTTGGATGGTTCAATGCCCTTCTGACTTTGTGGGGCCCAAATCTGCACCTAGGGCTTGAGGTGCCTCCCTACAGACAGGCTGAGGGAGCTGGGCTTGTTCAGCATGGAGAAAAAAATGCTGGGGGTGACCTCAGTGCAGCCTGCAGTGCCTAAAGGGAGCCTGCAAACAGGAGGGGAATCAACTCTGTGCAAGGGGAGATGGCAGCAGGACGAGGGGAAATGGTTTGAATTGAGGGAGGGCAGATGGAGGTTGGATGTCAGGGGAAGTTCTGTGCTGTGAGAGCGGTGAGGGGCTGGAACAGCTGCCCAGAGAGGCTGTGATGCCCCGTCCATCCCTGGAGGTGTTCAAGGCCGGGTTGGATGGGGCCCTGGGCAGCCTGGGCTGCTGTGAAATGGGGAGGTTGGTGGCCCTGCGTGTGGTGGATTCACGACCCTTGGGGTCCCTTCCAACCCCGGCCATTCTGTGATTCTGTGAAAATATTGAAGCCCAATTTGGAAGGAGGGTTAAAGGAGCCCCCCAAGCCCCCTCAGCCCCCAGCCCGACAAACCCGGGCCCTCAGCCCCCTCCTCACGCACCCTCAGCTCATCCCCTCGTGCACGCTGTGACCACATCCATCACCGCTCGCACTGCGGCTCTCCGCAGCTCCGGATGGAGGACAGGCAGCTCCCTCCAGTGACAGCGGGAGAAACGGCGGCGAAGGACAGGCTGGAGCCGTGCTGGGAGCTGGGGAGCTCCGGGGGGGTCGGGTGGTGGCGGTGATACAGTCAGCATTAGCGATGCACACACAGGGTGCTCCTGTCACTCTTCCAAACTTACAGTGACCCTTCTTGGGTGGTGGGAGAAGAAAAGAAAGCGATTTTGATCCCAATTGAGAAGAAATAGCTTGTTTTATTATTTTTTCCTGCTAAAATCCATGCATGCCTCAGATTCAGCTCAGAACCCATTAAGCTGCTGCAGAGGACAAAACTAAGATGTTTTCCTCCTGCTGCTCCGATAAGACTGACAGCGAAGCGATGGAATTGAAGGGTCTTATTCAGCAGAGCAATGAGGAGCTGTTCTCTTCTCCCATCTTTCACCTGCCTGGGGTGGGAGATACTTTGCCATAGGGAACTCAGCGTGGGACCATTCCCCTCCCTGAGAGGTTCTGCACCATCCACCCCAGGGCAGCCCTGCTGCTGCCATTCTCTGCTCAGCGTTGTTTGCCCCATGGCCTGGCAGTGCTGTGGGCATCACCCAGTGGGGCCAAACTCACTGCAGTCCTGTGGGGATATGTGAATATCAATGGGAGAAAGCAACAACACGTCCCAGCAGATCCTGGTTGTTAAAGATCCCTTCTGTGCGGGTTAAAAGGCCAACGCCTAGTGGCTGTTTGTGAGCGCTGAGGCTGCAAAGGAAGGGTGAGAAGAAAGATTTACTCTCTGTTTCAACAGAAACCTCCATCTGTCTGAGAGGAATTTCTTGTGTGACCCTTGGTGAGGTTGGGAGGCAGCGTCTTTCCTAGAGCCTGCATCTGTGAATCCATTTCTTTCTTCCCCAGCTGCTTCCATGGCTTCTTATGCAATAGAGATGCCTACACACAGCACTGGGGCTGCAGTGTGTGTTTGCATCCATATCTCACCCCATTTTCAGATCAGTTTTCATACTGAGAATAATTTTCAGCCAGCAGGAGCCGGGTCCCAGCTCTGATGGGAGCTGTTAGCCTGATGCTGCCTGTTCCCATGCCCCCATACATTTATTAGCGTTTACACCAGAGAAGAGCAGCCCGTGAGAAGCCTCCCCCTGCCTGCCTGTGGTGTTCATGATTTGGGTGGGTCAGGAGCTGCACAGCCTGGGGGGGGTTGAGCTGATGCCTTCAGCATCTCCGCAGGGGGATGGCAATGAGCACAAAGCTTTTTCCCTCCCTGCTCTCCTTATCCTCGCTGCCACGGGGTGCCAGAGAGCCACTAATCCTTCATTCAGCTGAAGGCTCCTCCAGGGAAAGTAGGGCAGAACGTTTAATGAGCAGAGCGAATGTTCTGGCACATCACAGAGCGAGGAAGGGACGGAGCCGTCGCCATCCCTGGGTGAATTTGTCTCAGGCACAGATCAGAAGCGTGGCAGCAGCGGGCGCAGCGCTGGTGCATGGATGGGTGCTGGGGGCACACACTGAGTGCCTGCACTCCTGCAGCTAGGCGGTGGGGGTTCTCCAAGCAGCAGTTTGAGCCTGGCTGTGCTCACAGCATCGGTGGCTGCTGCTCTGTCATTGGGAAACCCCCAGAGCAGCACAGCTGCAGCGTTCCCTGAGAGTGGAAAGTCCATCAGGACATGGGCTGGAGCCAAGAGAAAAGGGGAAATGCCTTCCTAGAATGCTCTGTGTTCCAGGCAGGGCTTTGCTTTTGGCATAGGAAGGTGACAGATCAGGAGGGCACACTGCACGGTGCTGTGAGTGTGGGATGAGCCTGGAAGGGAGAGCAAAGGGGAGTGCAGCAGTAGGTGGCTCTGAGCAGCCATGGGGTGGCCGTAGGAGAATGGAGGGTCTGAGAACGGT